TCAACAACAAAGCCTCGCTGTACCTTTGCAGCCAAGCCAATAAATGCTGGATATTTACACAGTGGCTCAATCAGAATTTGAAAAGGCAGCTCAATCTTTGTGTCAAAACTCTTCCAGAATTTTTCTTTGGTGCTGCTTCACATTTAATACTAGATTATGTAATATATTTAGTATCAATGTTTTGTAAATTGTGGAGGCCCCAGATCAAACCTTTTTGAGTAGGTCCCTGCAAGGCAAATACTGACCACGGGTGGGATATTCTAATCTCCTACGCAAACTGTCCTACAATTTTTAAGTATAATTACTAATCACATGAAATGATAAATTCTATTTGTTTTAGTTCATTCATGGATTGTGGCTATTGCTGGTTAAGCTAGAGTTTATTGTCCAATCCTAATTGACCAGGAGAAGGTGATGGTGATCTGCCTTCTTGAACTACTTCAGTACTTCATGAGCAAGGACACTTGCAATGCTGTTAGGAGGGAGTTGCAGGATTTTGACCCAGCAATAGTGAAGGAACAGCAAAATACTTGCAAGTCAGGATGGTGTGTAGCTTGGAAGAGAGCTTGCAGGTGGCGATGATCCTATACATCTGCTGCCCTTGCCCTTCTAGATAGTAAAGTTCACAGGTTTGAAAAGTGCTATCCAAGAAGTGTTGCTGAGTTGTTGTAGTACATTTTGTAGATGAAACACACTGCCGGCAATGTATGTTGGCGATGAAGGAAGTAAATCTTGAAGGCAGTGGATGATGTGCCAATCAGGCATCTGCTTTGTCCTGGAGGATGTCATGCTTCTTAAGCATTGTTAGGGCTGTACTCCATTCAGGAGTAGAGTACATTCCTGATGTACCTTGTAGGTTGAGGACGGGCTTTGGGGAGACAGAAGGTAAATTTCTTGTTGCAGAATTCCTACCTTATGACCTGCTCTTGCAGCCATGGTATTTATATGGTGGTTTAATTCAATTTCTGGTCATTGGTAACTCTTGGGATGTTCATCGTAGAGGATTCAGCAATGGTAAAGCCATTGAATGTCAAGAAGTGATTATTAAATTCTTTCCTGTTGAAGACGGTTATTCTCTGGCATTTATGTGATGCAAGTGTTACTTATCACTTATCAGCCCTAGCCTAGGATGATGTGCAAGTCTTGCTGCATGTAGAAACCAACTGCTTCAGTATCTGACACTGCCTCAATGGTGCTAAACATTCTGAAATTATCAGCAAACATCTAAACTTACGATGGAAGGAGGTTCATGAAGATGATTTTAATGTACTCCAGTTTCGTTAGAGCTCCTTGATGCCATACTCAGTCGTATGCAGCCATAATGTCAAGTGTAGTCACTCTCACCTCACCCCTGGAATTCAGGTATTTTGTCAATGATTGAACTAAAGCTGTAATGAAATCAGAAGCTAAACCACTCTGGTGGACCCCAAACTGATCATCAATGAACAGATTATTCCTTTTTAAGTGTTGCTTGATAGCATCAACAAGTCTTTCCATCACTTTGTTGATGATCAAGAATAGACTGACAATTCAGCAATTGGTTGGACTGGTCCTGTTTTATGGGCACAGGACTTAACTAGTTAATTTCTCACATCGTCAGGTGGATGCCAGTGGTGTTGCTGTGCAGGAAGATTTGGCTAGGGACATGGTTAGTTCTGGAGCACACATCTTCAGTACTATTGCCAGAACGTGGTCAGGATCCATACTTTGCAGCATCCAGTGCTCTCGACCATTTATTGACGTTACTTGGAGTTAAGCAAATTGGTTGAAGACTGGCATTGGTGATGCTGGGAACCTCAGAATGAGACAAACATGAATCATCCACTTGGTATGTCTGGCTGAAGACTGTTGCAAATGTTTCAGCCTTGTCTATTACACTGATGTGCTGAGTTTCCCCATTGTTGAGAATGAGGGTATTTGTACAGCTGCCTCCGCCGGTGAGTCAATTAATAGTCCACCACCATTCACAACTGAATGTAGCATAACTTTGGAGCTTAGATCTGATCCGTTGGGATTCACTTAGTCCCTATCTAATGCATGGCGCTTCCTCTGTCGGGCCTGAAAGTAGTCCTGTGTTGCAGCTTCACCAGGTTGATACCTCACTTTTAGGTGTGCTGCTCTATCATTCCCTCCTGCACTCATCAATGAACAAAAGTTGATCTTCCAGATTGATGACAATGGTAAAGTGGGAAATATGTGGGGCCATGAGGTTACAGATTACAGTTCTAATTCTGATGCAACTAATGGTCCACAGTGCCTCATGGATATCCAGATTTGATTTGCTAGTTCTGTTCACATTCTGTCCCATTTAGCATGGATATGCCATAAAACATAATGGAGGGTATCATAAATGTCAAAATGGGACTGTCGCATTAAAACCTTGTTGGACACTCCTACAAATATAGTCATGGTCAGATATATCTGCACAGGTAGACTGGTGAGGACAGTGTTGGGGGAATAACCACACCAAATAAGGGTTGGGGTTAGCCAGCAGCTTATCACCTTCTGAAAGGCAGTTAGAGTTGGGCAACAATTGCTAAAGTAGCCAGCAATGTCCCCCACCATATGAACAATTGAAAAAAAATCTGATTCGAAATGTTGTCTGCACTCGTCTGACTGTTTAGCATACCTCGAGAGAGTGGGCGCGCGCGCGCAGGGTGGTGAGAGAGCGGGGCGCGCGCGCAGGGTGCGAGTGAGAGGGGGCGCGTGCGCGGGGGGGGTGCGAGTGAGAGAGAGGGTGCGCGCGCGTACGGGTGCGGGAGAGAGAGCACAAGCTGACATGCGCGTGCGTGCTAGAGGGCACGCGCATGCTCTCATGTGCGCGCTAGAAGCACGCTCATGCTCTCATGTACGCACTAGAGAGCGCGTGCTCACGTGTGTGTGCGTGAGAAAGAGTGCGCGCGCGCAAGTGTGCGAGAGAGAGTGCAAGCTGACATGTGCACGCGCGAGACAGCGCTCGCGTGCTCACCTGTACGCATGAGAGGGAACGCGCATGCACGTTTGCATGAGGGAGGGAGTGAGGCCACGCCAGAGAGAGTGTGCATACATGAGAGAGAGTGTGCACGCACGTGTGAGAATGAGAGAGACAGTATGTGTGTGAGAGAAAAAGTGTGTGCATGCACGTGATAGTGAGAGACAGAGCGCGCCTGAGAAAGAGAGAGTGTGCTCGTGCCAAGTGTGCGAGAGAGAGAGCGCACACTGACATGCGCACGCGTGCTCACCTGTGCATGCGAGAGGGAGCGCGCGCGCACGCCTGCGCGAGGCTGCGTGAGAGTGTGCGCATGCACGTGAAAATGTGAGAGGCAGTGTGTGTGTGAGAAAAAGTGTGTGTGTGCACGCATTTGAGAGTGAGAGAGCGAGTGCATGCCAGAGGGAGAGCATGTGCATGCGAGAAGGAGACTGCGCATGCCCGAGGGAGGGAGCGGGGCCGCGCGCGCGCGCCTGAGGGAGGGAGCGAGGCCGCGCGTGACAGAGTGCGTGCACGCATGTGTGTGTGTGTGTGCGACAGAGAGTGTGTGCATGCACGTGTGAGTGTGAGAGACTGTGTGTGAGTAAAAGAGTGTGTATGCACGCACGTGAGTGAGAGAGAGACGGAAAGTGCGTGAGAGAGACTGCGCGCGTGTATGAGAGAGTGCGTGTGTTTGCAACAGTTTGTGCATGTCAGTGTGTTGTATTTTGTTCAAAAAGCACACGATTTATAGACAGTCAATGTGGTGTTTTATAAATTCCTACTTTAGAAATAGATCATAGAATCCCTACAGTGTGGAAACAGGCCCTTTGGTCCAATAAGTCCACCGACACTCAGAGCATCCCACCCAGACCATCCTCCTAATCTACACATCCCTGTACACTATGGGCAATTTAGCATGGCCAATCCACCTAGACTGCACATCTTTGGATTGTGGGAGGAATCCCAAGCAGACACGAGGAGAATGTGCAAACTCCACACAGTCGCCGAGGCTGGCGCTGTGAGGCAGCAGTGCTAACCACTGAACCACCGTGCTGCCCCCAAAATAAAACCAGTCTGACTCCAAACCAAAACACAAACAGATTCTAAACACATTGTCTGACCTGAAATGTCATATCTTCTTTACACTGATAAAACCTCTAGTTCTCTCAGGGCAGTGTCTTGAAAGGAATTCTGGGATTTACATGTACATATTAAGAATTAAAACCTTCTAACCGATTAAAGATTTAACAGCATCTTATGTTTGTTTAATAAATTCTCATCAATTGTGTGACTCTTTGATCTTTTAACTATAAATTCTGCGTTCTGTGTGCTACTTTCTGACTTCACCTGATGAAGGGGCTATGCTCTGACAGCTTGTATTTTCAAATAAACCTATACAAAATATGGAATGGACTGGGGAGAATTGACAGAAACAAGTACCTGGTGCCCTACAACAACAAAACAAGACGTAGTAATCCACGCGAACTGCAAAGACGATTTGTTTACAAGACAATGTATCAACAACCTTTCTTTCCCGGGGGGCAATCCTAAACAGAACAGCTGTCAGAGGAAATAGTCACAACTTGGGATCTTCAAGACACATCCATAGAGCATTTGTATTCAAAAGTTAATACAACTTCAGCAGGTTATGTCTGGTTTAACAAGCACAGCCCACGTTATGGGCCTATCATATTAAGTCCGTCGTGAGAGTGAGGGCTGCGCACACAACAACCTGCTGCATTTCACTAGCACCTGGACACGGAAGCTGCCATCACCTAGTCTCCCGGACAGGCTGCTGTTTGGCAGTTTTTTTTACTCCTCTGGACTGAAGACGATACAGAGACAAGCCCACCCGACTGGCTCCCTCCCCCCTGGCCGCCCACCAACCTGTGGACTATCACTGTACCTGATAGTTGATGGACAGCTCCGAGACACGGCGGCCTACCCTAACAACAACCTCAGGGCACTCCTGCCGGCACGGGCAATGCGCCTGCGCAGCCTGCCCTTAGTGACATCATCACGCAGGGCTCGCGTTGGGCCTTGAGACCAGCGCCAGGCGGGAAGCGCGCGTGCGCGGGGCGCAGTTGCGGAACTTGAGCAGGGAACGGAGGGAGAAGTCAGTCAGTGAGTGAGCTCCTGGAGCAGAGCCGCTGGCGGTCACTGACTGCTGCATGCTCAAACCGAGCGGGTGGTCGACATGCAGAACGTCATTAACACTGTCAAAGGGACTGCACTTGGTGTGGCTGAGTTCCTAACGCCCGTACTTAAGGTGAGTGTTGTTTGCTCAGGCCTGTCACTGCCATACCGTGAGTGACGGGATTGACTCTCCATCCAGCACTGAGGGCCGGGGGGGATAGTGAGGGCCGGGATGCTTGGAGACGGTGGGGTCCGGGGGCTCGGGGGCATTGAGTGGCTGGCCCACCAAGCAACCAGAATTATAGCTCGCAACACCTGTCACTCACTGATCAGATAACGTCTATCCTCCTGTCCCCTTTGTGATTGCAAACTCTCTTGTCCTGGCTTGAATTATCCAACAGTTCAAATCTCTCTGAATCTTGGTGAATGTCATTGTCATTCTGTTGTGACTCACCTAAATTTGTAAACTTAAAATTGGAGATATGGAATTAAAAAAGCAAAGCAAGATGCAAAGGCTGATTGTTAGGTTGAACACTTGGAGAGTGAAGTTGTTCAAGTGTTTGGTTCATCAATCGAGATAATTTTCTAACCCTGAATTGAGGTGGAACTCTCAGTGCATTGTACCTGTGCTACATTGAGGTGGTTCTGAGTAGATGGCCCAGGATTTCAGTTGCAAGTTCATGAGTCAGATATTTACATTCAATATCAAATATTATTATTATAATAACAATAAAAAGTTACTGTTTGTGTTTTTGCTTGTGGACTATAACTGGTATTATTTAAGTTGTACATTGCTGTTATGAAGGAAATTGTCAGAGGCACAGAGTAATGCAGCACAGAAGGTGAGCATTCATCCATTTATGTGTTTACTCTCTTTTTAAAACAAAATTGGTCCCAATCTCAATTTTCATTTGTGATTTTTAGAAATTCAATGTTGTTTTTGAAAAGAGTTTTCTTTTGCCAGAATTCAAAGTCTAAAATTTTGTTCTGTTTTATAAAGTGATTTTCTATTCATTTTGAGATATGGGCTTCACAGGCTGCTTAGCGAAGGTGGTAGCGAGTTACCTTCTTAAACCATCTCAGGAGTAGGGATATCCACAATGTCGTTAGAGAATCCATGATTTTGATCCAACGACAGTGAAGGAACAGTGATTATAGTTCCAAGTAGGGTTAGTGAGAGACTTGGAAAAGAACTTGAAGGTAGTTGTATCTCTATATATCTGCTGCCCTTCTCCTTCCAAATTTTAGAACTTGAAGATTTGGAAGATGCTGTCAGAATAGCCTTGGTCAGTTACTGCAGTGCATTTTGTGAATACAATCGTATAAAATAGGAGCAGAAGTTGCTAATTCACACCCTCGATTCTGCTATGCCATTATTTAATGTCCTGGATGATCTGTTTGTGTTTCAAATTCCACCGCCTCATCTAATGCAGTAATTTTTGATTCCCTTGACTAACAAGAATCTATCTACCTCTACCTTCGAAATATTCAATGATCCCACTCTAACTGCTATTCAAAGTTACATTACCCCCTCTGACAGGTAAAAGATCTCCTCATTTCTGTCTTAAAATGCAATCCCTAATTTTCAAATAGTGCCCTCAAGTTCTATGTTCCCATTGTCAAGATAATTCAGCATCTTGTATGCTTCAGTCAAGTCACTTCTCACTCTTCTAAACTGCAGTGGAAACAAGTTCAGCTTCTCAAACCTATCCTCAAGAGAGAGCCCACTCATTCCAGGCATCAATTTAGTAAACTTCCTCTGAAATGCTTCTAACGCTTTCAATTCCTTTCTTGAATAAGGAGACCAAGCTGCACTATATTCAAAATGTGGTCTCATCAATACCCTGTATAACTGAAGCATAGTAATGTGGTATATGCTGTTACCACAGTGGCAATGATGTAGGCAGTGAATGTTTAAGGCGGTGGATGGAGTGCCAATCAAATGGGCTGCTTTGTCTTGGCTGATTAGCACCCCATCTGCCAGCTTCAACATTGAAACGTAGAGCAAAGTCACTCCTCAAACATTATCACTATCTGTGCACTGTTATAAATTGTAACTTTTGCAAATATGTAATGAAGATATGGCCTCATTATTTCAATTTAAAACAATTCAAATGTTTGAAATCAACTGACCTGTCTGGAGGATAGATGTGATTTTCAATGTAGGATTGGACTTTGTGTATATAAATTATGTCGTCAGAGTTCATCAGGTAAAATTATAAGGAGGGGTGAACCATACAAGCCATCAAGCTTGCTCCACCTTGGAGTAGAATTGTGGCTGATCTTCAGCTTCAACCCAACTTTCCTGCTAACCTCGCTTTTTCCTGGATTCCATGAAATGGCAAATATCTGTTAATCTCAGCCTTGCATGCGTTCAGCTTTGGAACATCCACATCCCTCCAGGGTAGTGAATTTAGAAGTGAAGAAAATTCTTGTCTCTGTCCTAAATGATCAGTCCTTCATCCTGAGATTGTTCTGCCTGTTCTAAATTCACTAGCCACAGGAAACAAGCTCTGTGTCTATCCTGTCAGTGATTTTTAATGATTTCATTAACAATTTTGGAAGAGTACCATCCCAGGAGTAGCTGAACAGTTATTTATATCAACTGTCCAGTCAGGGGAAATCAGCTGGGAAAGCCATCTCAAAATTAGCATCTGTCACATGATCAGTTTGTTTGGCATTTCTGTTTGTCTTTAGTCCATTTCTTTAAATTGTATGTTTAAATTATTGTTTCAAGGTGCAATGGAGTTAGAATCATCATATTACTGTATTGCTATTGCTCATTCATCTATTATTTCTATTTTAGTACAACTTTTGTGACATGCAAGAGATTGGCTAACATTTAAATACAACTTTAGTCCACAAGGTTCTGCTGATCATTATGCTCAAAATGAGTCCCCTTCCATACTACTTCATCTAACACACAACCTTCTGATCCTTTCACTAATGTTGCTGATCTAGCTTACCTGAAAGGATCTGTTATTTTTCTCAGTTAATCCCTGTAGCACCGAGTTACACATTCTAACCTCGCTCTGTGTAAAAATAAGGATCATAATGTGCTGAAACACCAACTGCAAGGATCATTACCACGCTTTTGCTGGTCATGTACTTGCCAGCCCTCTGTGACGTGCATTGAGTATAGGAGGTGGGACGTCATGTTGCGGCTGTACAGGACATTGGTTACTGCGTTTGGAATACTGCATTCAGTTCTAGTCTCCCTGCTGTAGGAAAGATGTTAAATGTGAAAGCATTTGAAAATATTTACAAGGCTGTTGCAGGGGTTGGAGGGTTTGAGCTACAGGGAGAGGCTGAATAGGCTGGGGCTATTTTCCCTGAGCATCGGAGGCTGAGGGGTGACCTTATAGAGGTTTATAAAATCATGAGGGGCATGGATAGGGTGAATAGCCATGGTCTTTTTTCCAGGATACAGGAGTCCAGAACTAGAGGGCATAGGTTTAAGATGAAAGGGGAAAGATTTAAAATGGACCTAAGGGGCAACATTTTCATGCAGAGAGTCCTGCATGTATGAAATGAGCTGCCAGAGGAAGTGGTGGACGCTGGTACATTTATAACGTTTAAAAGGCATCTGGATGGGTATATGAATACGAAAGGTTTAGAGGGTTACAGGCCAAATGCTGGCAAATGGGACTGGATTAATTTGGAATATTTGGTTGGCATGTGTGTTGGACTGAAGGGTTTGTTTCCGCGCTGTACAACTCTAAGACCAAATTTTCTGGTTACTGGTTGCACTCTGATTATATTGTGTGTTTCAACTGCCTTCTAATCAATTGTTTAATTGCACTGAATTTCATTTTCAGATGTCACATTGGTCCCTCATCTTTGGTGAAACTGAAGTGTATTTGAATCATTGCAAAGAGCATATCACTACAGTGTGCACTGTTCTATCCATCATATCTATTCTATCAAACAATAAAACAATTCTTGCATCCTTTACTCAACATTTACTAGTTATTCATATCAAGTCAGTTTTAAACTTAATCACCTAAAGAATCTCCAATATTGAAACAAAACTCATTCATGCGTTGTAGAGATAACAAGGTGTGGAGCTGGATGAACACAGCAGGCCAAGCAGCATCAGAGGAGCAGGAAGGCTGACGTTTCGGGCCTAGACCCTTCTTCAGAAATGGGGGAGGGGAAGGGGGTTCTGAAATAAATAAGGAGAGAGGGGGAGGCGGACAGAAGATGGATAGAGGAGATGATAGGCGGAGAGGGAACAGACAGGTCAAAGAGGCGGGGATGGAGCCAGTAAAGGTGAGTGTAGGTGGGGAGGTAGGGAGGAGATAGGTCAGTCCAGGGAGGACGGACAGGTCAAGGGGG